CCCTGCTCCTACAGGAACGGAAAGTGATTGTTTGAAAAGGATAGCTATTTAGTATTTCTTTTAATTTCGTTTTTTAAATCATGCTTCATCGAAGGACAGTTTGTTATTGATAATTTTATTCATTTTATTAAAAAAAATGGCCTAATATGTATATGACGTATGACCAATACTTATGATTTTTAATACTAATGCCCGGTTTCCGAAAGCCCGATCAATGTTAGAATCAACTAACTAGGTGTCAAATCTCTTGTCAAGTCATCTGATTGGTTGTTGATAATTCAGTCAACCAATCAAATGACAATCAAATGACAATGACAAGAGATTAAATTGATTTTAACATTGATCGGCCTTTCGGAAACCGGGTGCTAGTGTTGGAGGATCATGTAGTGGCACGAATGGGCCGGCTCGGAGTGATAGTAGTATCACTCCTGAGGCCGCAGAGCCTCTCAGAATACTGATGTGAAACAACCTTGCTCCGTGTATCTCCATGTTCGAGAAGTTACCCAAGGCCCAGTTTCCATTCTCAATCTCCAAATCTTCAAATGCCTAAGTCCATAAAAGGCTGCCAAAGTACATGTAACTTTTTTAAACGTTGTGGGTGTCCATGGGGGATCCCAAATTGCTTACCATCAGGTGATCCGTCTGCTGTTTTGGTGAATTGATGCAAGATATGCACAATTAAGTATATTGGAATTGCTACTGTACCTAAGTAAATAAAATGCGTAGTTAACCAATACGTGTTGTCAGGTACCGCGACAGTGGGTACAGCAGCGGGCGCGTGCGCAGGGCGCGGGGCCCCGCCAGCCACGCTGCCTCACTGCCGCGCACTAGGTCACAGCCACCGCCGCATGCCAGAGCACACGGTAGCTTCATACTCTTCTAATACAAACAATCAAACTTTTTTTTTTGCTTTTTAAGAAGGTTTACAGACTAATACAATAATAGTTAATAATATACAGTAATCATATCGCTAATGACAAGCCTCAACTTTTATAATAATATGATAATGGTTTCTATATGTTTGGTTATGTTGTTACTTAGCAAGAGACTACGACTTGGAGGAGTCGTCGCCGGTTCGTTATGAAAAGCATGGCCGAGAGGGACGAGATGTATTTGATGATGACGATAGAGCAGGTTAGGGATTTTGTAGTTGTTAAGTAAGATTTTTCTTGTAATATTATCAACTAAGTTATTAAATAATTTGATTCAATGTTTTGCAGAGGAGTTTCCTAAGATTTCGTTGCCATTACGAGACCTGGAGGCTGCTTTGCAAGACTTGGAGACTCATCATATGAAAATATCTTCAAAGGCTGAACTGCGCAGTAAATCTCTGCCCCGACCAGCTAAAGCAAAGCCAGAGTACGGGCCGCGGCGAGATTTTGACGATCAGAGACATTTCGAAGATGACCCTAGAGACATGTATGAGATGCATGACCTCCACGATGTGGACTATGAGAATTATAAGGAAAGACAGGCGTTGGAGAGAGAGAGGCGGAGGGAGCGAGAGGAACTATATGGGTACAGGGACCGCGGCTATGATCCAGAAGATGAGGATTTTGAGTTTGACTATCCAAAGGGCAGGAGGTCAAGACGTGATTTGAGGTAGGTGCTGACAGTAACTGTGTTGTGTCATTGGAACTATGGATAAAACGTGAGGTTTGGTTAAGGGCGGAGCGAGGCAGGTCGGAGTACCTGGAGCGTGATGAGGCGTGGGAGAGGTCCCACCGGCGGCAGCGGCGCGCGCGCTCCGCCATGTACGACAGTGAGCGCTGGGACGAGGAGCGCCCACCACCACCTGAACCACCACGTCGCCCGCTTCGAAGGCTGCATACTGTCGATGACAGTAGATATCGTACACGTGTACGTCCACTTTAAACGTACTCAAGTTCAATACATTTTCTATAGACTTGATAGTATTTCGGAGCTCTGAGGATCTTTTCTTTGTTTCGTAGACGCCCTCTGTGGAGAGAGATGACTGGAGCGACGAGGTGGCGGTAGTGCCGCGACGCAGTAGACCACCAGCAGGTGAATTAGTATTGATCCAAAGTTAAATATTTTCTTGAAAAGTATCGTGTAATCAGGCAGAATATCTCTTTTATTTTATTCACATTCGAAATAATTCTCTCCAAGTATGGAAAAATGCTGGTTGGCAATAACCCCTTGTCATTTCAAATCGATCTTAATGTTGGTTTAACACTTACTGTATCATCTGTCTTTGCAGCATGGGGCTCCCGTGCTTCGGAGATATATCACCCTCCTTCCGACGTAGTTAAGGAAGAGGTGAGTTAACAATGGTCAATTGTTCATCATTATGTACAATCCTTATTAATGTGCCTGAATCATTAATTATTATTTGTTGAAGATAAAGCCGGTCCCGATCTGGTTGTGCGTGTTCCTGGTAGCGTCTTACATCGTGGCGGGCACGTTCCTCTTCAAGAGCTGGGAGAGCTGGGAGTATCTGGACGCCGCCTACTTCTGTTTCATCACGCTGACCACCATCGGCTTTGGGGACTTTGTGCCTGCTCAGGTTACTGTCTCACCATTACCACCTACAAAAGTGACAATGACAATCCATAAATTCGATACACTATAAAAAGGTCTGACTGACGAACAATTCTAATTTTAATTCGTTCAAAGTACCTACCTATTTATTTTTGATTTCGGACAAAGAAGATACTACTTTACTATTCGGACCCTAAACACATATTTTTTAAATTATCAAGAAAACCATTTGCAATAATAGATAAGCAAAAGTTTACTAAATAGCATCTTAGATTTCATTTTTCAATAATAACTGAATATATAACCATCAATACTTTTTATTAAGTTTTTACACATAATGCGCAGGGTCAAAGTGTGGATGACCCGGCGGCCGCGGTGCACTCCATAGCTCTGTGCTCGCTGTACCTGCTGTTCGGGATAGCGCTGCTGGCCATGTCCTTCAACCTGGTGCAGGAGGAGGTGCGCGCCAACGTCGCCGCGCTCGCCACCAAGCTCGGCATCATCAAACCGAGGGACACGCAGCCTGACTCAGATACCGACTACTGACGTTCGGCTACGTTTTCCATCCCATTGCCCAAATTGGTTAGGGTATGCATGGTATGACTTTCATTTTCTGGGTGGGCACTCGGGGTGATACTATACATTCTTAATCAGAACCTTTGTTAGATTTTAGGAGCCACAATGATACTACTATAACGTTCCAATGTTCTAGCAACGGTAGAACAAAAATAGTAAATACCGATGTGGACTTGGGCGAAAATCTCAGTGAGAAGGTGATGATGTGCCTTGTACTTAAAGTTACTGACTTTTTACAATAACTCACTGTGATTTTTTTTTACTGAAATAAACTTATTTTACTATTTGAGGTTTTTTTTTTTATTTTTGTACCTATGAGCTCTTTATATTCATGGTTGGTATTACAGATATTGTTGTCATACATACGGCCGAGGAATATGACAGCGTGTACTAGTCGTGAAATAATCTTGCTATTGAGCTGTTAAATATTTCATAGTTTCATTGTTTGTTTCAACTCTGATTATGTATATGAGTTATATAATTAAGAGAATACATATTTGTAATAAATAAAGGATATCTTTATTTTTTTTTTGCTTGGGATCTACCAATCGGTTTGGTGATTTTTTATTTTATTATAGGTAGGTACTCATCAACAGTTGATTAAGTACATCTCGTTTCTTTAGGTGTCACAACTACCATAACCTATCTCTATGACCCTAAGTTAGTCTGGAAGATAATGCCAGCATTAAGTCTGCCATTGTACAAAAAAATATTCATATTAATAAATTCTTGAATGATAGGTACTTCACAAGCTTGGAAGAAAGCATGCAGTTTTAATCAGAGAGTAGAGTGGAATTTTTACCATGGTGAATATCGAAGTTGGAAAATTAATGACAATAATAGTGTGATTAAAAACCATCACAAAGTAACCACCTGCCGGTTTCCGAGTAACATATACCTATTACTTTGACGCACAGTTGTCGCGGTGGCGATGGCGGGGCAACAAGATGCCGCGCAATGTGTCGCGGGTTCGATTCCCGCACGGAACAACTCTTTGTGTTATCCGCTAATTGTCATTGTAATTATGATGCGAGTATGGGTGCGATGAATATGTGAAATTGTATGTCTGTAAACGCTCCCAAGGCACAGGAGGAAATTCAAGGGCGGGCCAAAGTTTTCATTAAAAAAACTAAGTAGGTATCTATATTTGTGTATTCACGTGACAATTGGAAGACAGACAGACGGAGTTCACCTTGTGGTGTTTGACACGACACTTTGATTGATCTGTACCCTAACGAGGCAACTAGTTAGTTACACAGGACAATGACGCGGTCGTTAGTTACCAAGTCATTATTTATATATAATTGTGAGTAAATACATGTAAGCACTAGTAAATTGATTAAGTCGTTAATACAGCTTTAGTGACCTCTGGATTGAAGGTAAATCACGGCTCGGACTACGTGTCGGAACGGGTCGGTTTTTTTAGTCAGTTTTTAGCAGTCAAAGAAGAGTTAAGTTATACTCCGAAATAGGCCGTGGTTATGTACTAGACACAAAGAAATAAGAATGATATCTTAAGCACAATGGTACACACCAAAACATCTAACTTTAATATCGAACCTAGGATCTTGTAGGCACTCGGAAGTTGCTCGTTAGCACTAACCTAATGAGTACTATACCTTGACAATACAGTCAGGAATACATTGTACCGAAGTCACATACGATACTAGCGTTTAGGTATGAGTAATGTATGGCAGGAAGGTAAACCGCGCTGTAAACTCTGAAAACTTAAAGTATGTATACAAAATATATAATGAAGTCAGGTAACATTATGGGACACGCACACAAACGCACGCACCCACGTTAGGTAACCGTAGACGGCGCGCAGCGTTGCGACACTTCCAACTCCGGTACGCGACGTTGCCGTACTTCGGACCGGATAGCGACCGTCCGGCGCGCGGCTGCCGCTCCGCTCCGCCGCCGACAGTATTGTGTAAACTCGCTAGGGGAATATACGCATTTTTGCACAACATTTAACACTAAATATTAATTCCAAATAAAATCCCCGTCGCTTTTCCATACGTAACATGTATTTTGTGTAGTTGAGAGTGAAATTTCAAGAGAAACCGCCATTTTGAAACCGGATAGCAGCAGTTTGAAGATATCGATAATGTCGGACTCGGACACAAGGTGGGTGGACACTGAACGTCTCGCGCTCCCTCACACACACGTGAGCCTGTTGTTGTGTACTCTGTGTACCCAAACATGGCGAATTTACTTCAACAAATTGAGAACTTTGTTTGTTAAAACATAGAATGAACTTTGCTTGCAGTCAGGACCGAGAGCATTCTATTTTAGTCTTTATGCCGGGGCGGTAAGGTCGTTTGGCATACATTTGGCGCGAAACTCGGTTCAATATTCGAGAAACTAGTTCAAGGTCGGCAGTGTTTACCCGTGTTCTCCGTGAACTTTTGACAATTTGTCGGAATTTTAATAACTATCGACGAATAAATAGTGTTGATATTGCAATGACATTTGTATTTGGGAAAGTAAGAAAGGTTTTTGGTAACTTTGTTTTTGTTTATTTTTAACTTTTTAGATTTACCAAAATGTTTAATTTCCTGACAGAGTTTAAGTTAAGTAGGTACTTTTAGCAAAGTTTTATAATAATGTGTATGAAATCAATAACAATTTACAATTTTCATTTTAAACAGTAGGTACGAGTTTGTAACTACCTGCTTACTATTTTTAATACACATGGCAGTTTTGGATGCTTCGAGTTATTTTTGCGTTTATTTTTCGGGCTAGAAAAAGTTACATTATAAAATTTTCATGATAACAAGTTTATACATATATTATGTACGTATGTAGGTATAATGTAACTTATGCGCGTATGTTATGTTGGGCAAAAGGAAAATTTGAAGCAGATATCTTCAACCGATTGAGCCGGCCTTTTTATATACCCAGTTTGCATAACCATAGGCATAAATGCAATGTTTTATGAAGTATTTTTTCGTATTACCGGGACTTATTGACCCACCTGATGAAACCTTGTTTTTATTAAATGTATTTTTTAAGATAAAACTCTTACCATTCATCTTTATTAAACTCGATGATATTTAGTGAGGTCATCAGGCAATGACAGACTTTGGTCTAGCATAATGGGTGATGTGTGGCACCTACACTCTTGGGTAGTTGGGAAACATACTAGAACCAAAGTGACCTCTGTCTGTTCCTTCGAGTACCAAGAGGATTGACGATGACGTCATGTTGTGCTGTGAGATGAGATAATAGGTATCGGATAATTTAACTGGTTGCAATATTTATGTGGGAATGTGAGAGACTCCACTGTGTGACGTTTCAAAATGTTTTGAAGTTGTGATCATCTTGTGGCAAGCAATCCAGCAAATCCAGAGGATTTGGAGCCTTAGGATTTGTTGAATCAAATTGCGTTTAGGTTAAGACCTAAACTAAAATCACTCACACGGCCGAAACAAAACGCTACCGTTGTTTCACGCTAGTTTTCAGTAGTATCGGTTGAACCGGCCCATTTGTGAGCATGGCGCTCTGACGTGAAATGTTTTGCAGCACAAGCGTCTTGCTGTTCTCGAAGAAGATGATCTCAACTCGTGATCTCATCGAGCTGGTGCGCCAGAAGCGGTGTCTGTGGGACCGGTGCCACCCCTCGTACCGGGACAAAGCTGCTAAGGACAAGAGCTGGCACGAGATCTACCTCGAGTTCGAACCTTCATACGACACACTCAATGAAAACAAAAAGACTCTCATTGGTAAGTTAGTGACAATATACTGGGGCAGTAACTGCTGTTTACTTATCCATTCAACATGTATGCTGTCATTCATTCAACTAGTGCTTCTAGTACTTGTTAAGGACATCAATAACAGTTTTATACTTATATTATTTAACTAGCTGTCCCACGCGGTTTTGGTAACTGCTCCGCTCCCGTCGGTTGTAGCGTGATGATATATAGCCTATAGCCTTCCTCGATAAGTACCTAAGCTATGTTTGAACGAATTTTTGAAATCGGACCAGTAATACCTGAAATTAGCGCGTTCAAACAAACAAACTCTTTAGCTTTATAATATCAGTATAGATTGCACTTGAATAGAATGGAATCTATTTTACACATTTACTATGTTATTATTTTGTTAGTACGAATGTATTTAACTTACAGTTTACTGCGCGTGTTAGGCTATCTTTGCGGCAGGAAAATGAATTTCAATTATGTCTAATTTGTACATGATGTTCACAGGTAATATAATCACGAGGAAATGGTACAACGTCAGAGACTCGTACGTGAAGTCTCGGAAGCCGGGAGTACGGAGACCGTACTTGTACGCGGAGGAGATGCAGTTCCTAGACCCCATCTACTTGGTGGGAGATAGGAAGAGTGAGAAGAGTTTCATCGAGGAACGGATATCCAATGACGACGACGCAGATAATGACAACTCACATAATTGGTTGCAAGAAGTGTTTGTGGACATCGAGGAGGGCGGCGACACGCAGGCGGCCGTGTGTCCGCCCAAACGGGCCAAGGTCGAGTACGGCACGAGCAAAGAAGAGAACGAGGAGAACATCGTGGCTGTACTCGCCAACCTCATACAAAAGGAAGAAGACGAGGACAGAGCCTTCTTCAAATCCATCACTCCGTCCGTGAAGAAGCTGTCCGAGAGCGCCAAGTTCGAATTTAGGATACAAGTGATGAAACTCATTAACAGTTTAAAAATTAGGGACCGACAAGTAGTGAACCTTAAACGAGAAAGGACTTCAAATGTGGACTCAGATTCTGAGTGATTGTTTGTAGATATTAAAATTATTTTAAGGAAAGTTTCCTTTTATTTGTGACCCAAAAGCGCTCACTACGTAAGTAACATATTACTTTATAATCATATCTACACAGAAGGACATCATCGATTACACGAAACATAACAAAAGTTATCAGAAAGTATCTGAATATTATAATTTGCTAATCTATAGTCTGTAAACAATACTGAATGATAGGAGCCATTCGTATCTCAAGTCACACGTATCTGAAGGATAATTAACATAATGTATCTCAAGCAATTGTAAGCCCAATGGCGTAGTAGTATTTAATTAATTAGCGTGAAGTGTTCACTGTTATTTTGACGATAATTTTTGACAATAAAAGCGATCAATAGTTGATGATTGCGTTAATCTACATGGGCGATAACAGCAGCTTAGATGACGCAGTCTTGATTACTCCTGGTGTCTTCGGGCCTGGCAGCAGCCCAGCACTGGCAGTAGCGAGGCGGTGGTGCACGGTGGCGCTGGCTCGCGGACCGCTGACTAGCAACCTCCGAACACCCGCGAGTCAAACCCAGGCACAATGTCGAACGAAGAAAAAGGCGAGAGCCACACGCACAAGCCGGTGGACTTGGACAACATCCTGGTAGAGGAGGTGGGCCAGTTCGGGAAGTACCAGATCGTGACGCTGCTGCTCGCTGCCTTCCCTGTCATATTCTCCGCGTTCGCCTCCGGAGAATATATCTTCACGACCGCCAGGATACCCACCAGGTAATGGGAATGTCATTTACTAAGACAGACTTGAACTTGTCGGATATGCGTATTTTTAGGGAATAAATAGCCTACGATATGAAATAAAATATTTCTGAGCAAATAATAGACGTGTTACTTGACCGATTACCTTCAAGTGTTTTCATATTATAACAGCTTACGCTACTTATGGGGAGAGGTGTGGCACACAATATGATCTTAGATCCATGTGTATGAGCTACATGTAGTTTGACAAACGGTGTAGTGGACGGGGCGTCCGGTTTCCGTCACGGTCAATATCGGTAACAGCTGTCGGTATATCACTAAAGCTATTTTTAGAATAAATTCTTCAAATTTGATGTATGCGACATAAACATGTTATGAGTTCCTATGTTGGTATATATTAGATTGATGAATGGATATTTGTAATTTTTTTACGCCAAAACTATTCAATGGATTTTGATAAAAAATGGCATTTTATATGGCGTGAAACCCTACATTACAGGTCTAACTAGTTTAATGAGCCATTGATAGTGTACAGTACTGTAAATACATATATAGGTACATCTAAAAAACTACTAGTTTTTCTCCCACGATACTTTTCTTTTTTTATGGGATAAGTCGGCAAACGAGCAGACGCATTACCTGATGGTAATGCGTCTGCTCGTTTGCCGACTGGCGTTTAGACTGCGTTGCCGGCCTTTTGGGGATAAGGGTTGCGGATATATGCGGGGTCTCCGGTAACCTCACTCGCACGGTAAAACACAACGCTTTGGTGGTTTCACGCCGGTTTTCTGTGAGGCCGTGGTATCACTCCGATCGAGCCGACCCATTCGTGCCGAAGCTTGGCTCTTCCACATTTTCTTGTCTTGCATATCATTTCATTAAATTGGTACTGAAGCGATGCGATGTTATTATAAAACGCAATAGTTCGGGGTGTACCTTTAAATCAAAATACTTTCCGCAGATGTTTGATCCCGGAATGTGACGGCGAGAACCCTGAATTCTCCCCGGAATGGCTGTCCAATGCCATCCCCGCGAGTGGCAGCGGCTTCAGCTGGTGCACTGAATTCGAGCGCAGTAACGTCACGGTGGATGTGGTGGAGGGCACCTGTCCTGCGGCACTGTTCAATCCTCCGCGGGAAATGGAATGCCAGAAGCATATTTACCAGAACCAGCTCAGTGTTGTTTATGATGTAAGTTCAAGTCTTCTACAACTATTTTTTTTATAAATATCCACAATAATTTAAGAAGGGCAACAGCTATGGCATGCTGAGCTACGACTGGGCATGTCCAAGAAACTCATGAACTGCGTCGGGGCAAACAATACTTGAAAATAATTGTGTTCGGATTTTTCATGTCTTCCCAAAATACCAATTTTAATTCAAGATGCACAATTAGAAGTAAAAATTAACTTTGACACTGTCAGCTCTTTGTTAAAATTTTGAACTCAAACAATTAGGTACCTTAATAATAAATTAAAGTAGTCAAAATCAATAGTTCAAGTCCGATCAATCGTTGGGAGCTGTCTATATATAAACTACTGTTTTATATCGCTTTTGGTATATGACACTAGCTTACTAGCTTCAGCCCACGACTTCACAAGCGTGGTATTTTAAAAAAGCCGCAGCCGCGCCAGCAAAATTGTTAAGTCAGGGTATCACCTTTCTATATGTACATACCAGATTTCAACCTAATTTGTTCAGCCGATATTGTGTGAAATAATAACAAACATATCTATGTTCCATATACATTCCATGCCATACATTCTCACAAACTTTCACATTTATAATATTGGTAGGATCTGCCCATGTAAATACTACCTAGGTACTATCTACATAATTATGTATTACCTAAGTCATATAATGCGTCCGAAACGACACTAGGCGTAATAATTTATTGTACCTGCAGCTCAGAGATAGACATATTATTGTGTAGATAGGACGAGGAATTTATCAAATTATCATAATCCAACCGTCAAAGTAGGTATTTGTCGTAATCAATCATTATTTACCGCCTCTATCGACTTAACTCGCCGGCGATAAACGAAGCTAATTAGTTAATAGCCATAAACCGGGTGAACTTGATAAATACGTATTGTTTTGATAATACGTGGCCATGTGGCTTATTCGGATAGTTACCTTCTTAAGGACACAATTATTATGATTACGACAAAGAAAATGCATGAAGGCGATTCCTAGATGATCCTTCGGCTCGTTTCCTTACTACGAATGGATGTTTTTGTTTATTTTTGAATGAATAAACAAATGAAAGTCAATCAATTTGTAACACAGGCACGCGTACCTACTTATCTGGGTCAATTGCAAAAATACCTGTAATTACAAAGTTGATAAAAATATTTTTTTAACTGACGCTATCATGGTTGATGGCCGGTATATTACACTAGCTACTCTCGCGCGGTATCACCCGCTACTCGGCCTTCTCCGATAAATGGACTAACAAACATAAAAATAATTGTACCATTTGAAGCAGTAGTTCCGGAGATTAGCGATTGAAACAAACAAACTCAGCTTTATAATATTAGTATACATTCTGAGATAGTAAATTTACAGAAGCCATACAATAATAGAGAAATATTTTGATATAATGACGCATGTATTACCTGACTTCAGTTCGGCATGGCGTGCGACGAGTGGAAGCGCTCCCAGATCGGGTCCATCCGTACTATAGGCACGTTGTTGGTGCTGCCCATCACCGGGTACATCTCGGACCGCTGGGGGCGGCGCGTGGCGCTTACCATCAACGCCTTCAACACCGGCTGGATCGGTCTCGTGCGCTCCTTCGTCAACTCCTACGAATGGTTCCTTGCGTTGGAAGTACTAGAGTCCTCAGTGGGCGCTGGCGCGTACTCTTCTTGTTATATTCTAGGTAAGTGATCACTAGTCACTTACTAGAGTTGTACATTCAGATATCAAATCTGAAATTTATATAAATATCTCGCTGTCTAATTTCAGTGACGGAACTGGTGGGTCCTAAGTACCGTGTGATAGCTGGTGCCACGATCTCCACGCTGTTCGCTCTCGGGCAAGTGATCCTCGGGTTTATCGCGTGGGGAGTGCCCGCGTGGCGGCCGCTCACACAGGTCCTGTACGCGCCACGCCGCGTTGGTCGTCAGCTACTTCTGGATCCTCTCGGAGTCCGTCAGGTGGCTGATGAGTAAGGGTCGCTATGAAGAGTCGGAACAGATCTTGAAGAAAGTGGCTAAAACCAATAACAAAGAACTGTCTGACAAGAGTTTGGAAGCATTACGAGCTACCGCCGAGGCCGAAAAGAACACCGTGAAGCCGAAGGAGCCGTGGCTGGTGGTGCTGGTGTTCAGGTCGCGTGTGATTCTGTCTCGGTGCCTGGTGTCACCGATCTGGTGGATCACGAACACGCTGGTGTATTACGGAATGAACATCAACTCGGTGAACATGTCGGGCAATGGCTACCTCAACTACGTGGCGGTGGCGGCCATCGAGATCCCGGGCTACTGGACTGCCATCCTACTGCTGGACCGCATCGGCCGTAAGCCGGTGCTCATTTGCGCGTACTGGCTGTGCGCAGCGTGCCAGTTCTCATTCGCTTTCATGCCTGAAGGTAACTATTACAGACAACATTAGATTTAAATTAATTATTATTTTATGGCAACAGATATTTACTCTATTTGGATTTGTTTCCAGGTAACGAGGGTATCCAGTTGGCGCTGTACCTGTTCGGCAAGTACTGTATCGCTATCGTGATGACCTCTGTGTACGTGTACACCGCGGAGCTGTACCCTACCAAGTACCGACACAACCTGTTCGCGTTCTCCTCCATGGTGGGCCGACTGGGATCCATCACAGCGCCGCTAACGCCATCTCTTGTAAGTTACTAGTACCAATTTATCTTTAAGTACTTTTACTTTACTAGTAAACCATATACATCCCTCTTCGTGTCTACAATTCTCAAAGCTTTTTATTTAACCAAGATTTATATTCGGTAAAAGATGATAGACCGATCAGAGATATCTTTTCTAATTTCCAATTCCTTTCTTGTATAGGCTACAGAAGTTTGGGGGCCGTTCCCTTCGGTCCTATTCGGCAGCTTCGCTCTACTGTCCGGACTGCTGATCTTCACGACGCCGGAGACGCTGGGCACCAAGCTACCAGACACCATTGAGGATGCGGAACAGCTCGGCAAGAAAACAACCACGTGATCTCATTTCTTATGTACTCATTATTAGATAAGTAATACATATTGTTAATCTACGTAATAAATATATTTTGTTAAGTATTTGTTTCATTTTGAAGTATAAAACTCAAAGCCCATTTATACAATAAATAAACTGAAATATAAAAAATACCCGTTAGTAAACATTGAGCATTAAAGTGAAAAATACCAAAAATCAAAAAGACAGCGTATTAAAAATAAAACAAGCGACCTAACTGACGAAAACTAGTGTATTCTGTTTTGTATTTGTTTATTTATTTACTTATAGTATGGGGGATTCAAGTTAATACAAAATGGTATACCTACCTTATAGTAAAACTAGTAATATAAATTTCATTCGTTGATCATCAGCCTATAAGTGCCCACTGCTGAGGAAAGGCCTCTTCTCATACGGAGAATGTTAGAGCATTAATCACCACGCTTGCTCAATGCGGGTTGGCGATTTCAAACTTATAATTAGAAATTATAAGTTCAGGTTTCCTCACGATGTTTACCTTCACCGTATGTCAATGGTGTCTAAATAATGAAAGAAAGTACATATAACTCGGAAAAAGCCACATTGGTACTTGCCAGGTTCCGAACCCACACCCTCATGCACGAGAAGCGGGCTCCTTAACCTCCGGGCCACCACGACTATCAATTATAGGTAACCATGAATAAAAGTAGAAATAGTGACAAGAAACTTATGATCTAATATTACTAAAGAGCAATTGGGTAAATTCCTAGGTCAAAAATAAATTAAGTCGAGGTTTTAATACAATAAAATATTGAAAACTATAATTTTATTCATCAATCGATCGATGCACTGAATTTAGATTTTTTTAACTAATTTTTAAGTAATAATTAAACTATTTGACCCAAAAAACTAAAAAAAATAGCTAAAAAATATCTAAAACTCAGTGTATCCTTTGGTGTATCGATCGATCGTATTATAAAGATATTGTATTGTATTGAAACATCGAATTAATTTATTTTTAACCTAGGAAACTACCCAATTCTCCCCTAAAAATATATATATAGACCTACTTACTCGAAATAATACTAAAGTTGACATTTTAATGAAGTACAAGTGTTTACTTAAGGCACTCCAATAAAATTATAACACCTACATATCTGAAAAAGTCTGCCATCAGTCAACAAAGTAGATAAACGCATTTAAGATAATACCCAGATACTTGTGTTTGGATGCAGATCATTTGGTAGGCAGCTGTGCACTACCGTGCGTGTGCTCTGTACTCTTAGCTGGGGTAAGTATGGCGGGAACTGTGAGCCCCACGCGGAGGATGGATCTGGACGCGCTGCTGGTGGAGGAGCTCGGCCAGTTCGGCAGGTACCAGCTCCGCACCTTCCTGCTGGCTGCTGTTCTGGTCATGCTAGTGGCGTGGAGCAACTTGGAGTACATATTCTCTACGGCCCGCATCAGCACCAGGTGCCCTATATTACTTATATGTAGTAGTTAAAATATCGATGTAAAGCTTTAAAACGATTCTACTCTGCTAATGAACAGTACATAGTAAACCAAAGTGCTAAGGATAATACCACAGTAATTAAGTATATGCCACTAGCGGTGTTGTAACCCCAAGTTAGTTTCAAGATTTTTCATGTGTGCATGGGTAAATATTATAAATAAATATTCTAGATGTTTGATTCCGGAGTGTGAAGATGAGCCCACAGAATTTGCTCCACCCTGGTTGATGAACGCAGTACCGGCTGGCTCCACTCAGGGGTCCTTCGACAACTGCGAGCGTTTCGGGAACTTCTCCGCATCGAGGCGGCAGCTCGACAGCGACATCTGTCCCAGCGAACTATTTGACCAGGGGACGCGGCTACCCTGTGACACCTTCGTGTACGAGAACACGAATACCGTCGTATTCGATGTGAGGCAGGGAGACAATAACATTGTTCGAGTGACTTGGTGAGGATAATTTGTGTGACTGATGCGTTTGTTTAATATTAGTATGGGCTGGCGTGTGACGAGTGGCGACGCTCGTTGATCGGCACTGTGACCACGTTCGGCACGCTGACGGCACTGCCCATCACCGGGTACATCTCGGACCGCTGGGGCCGGCGCGTGGCCCTCACCATCAATGCCTTCAACACGGCCTGGCTCGGCCTCACTCGGTACTGGGCCGACACATACCTTGCTTTCGTACTGTCACAGTTTGCTGAAGCCACGTTTGGATGTGGCTTGTATTCAAGTATTTATATTTTATGTGAGTATCAACGCACAAAATTAATTATCAATGAATATGTAGATACATCGGATAGACACTCTATTTGTGATCAAAACTTACAGTGACGGAGTTGGTGGGTCCTGACTACCGCGTCGCAGTGGGCGCAGCTTTAAAGACTTGTTTCGCACTTGGGCAAGTGACGCTCGGGTTGCTCGCGTGGGCCGTGCCCAACTGGAGGAATCTCACACTTGTGATTTACACTCCCCAGTTACTCACCATCCTTTACTACTGGCTCATCAGCGAGTCGGTCAGATGGTACATGAGCAAAGGTCGCTTTGATAAATCGGAAGCTTTGCTGAAAAAGGTGGCCAAAGCAAACAGAAGACAACTGTCTGACAAGTCACTGCAAGCGTTGCGCCATACTGCGGAGGAGAGACTACAGAGTGAGCTGAAGGTAGAAGGGAGTAGTGGCGACGAGCCATGGCTCGTAGTGCAGGTGTTCCGACACAAGCCGATACTGGTGCGGTGCGTGGTGTCGCCCGTCTGGTGGATCACCACCACCTTCATATACTACGGGCTGTCGCTGAATGCGGTCAACATGTCCGGGAACAAATACCTGAACTTTATAGCGGTAGCCGCTGTTGAGATACCCGGCTTCTGGACTGCGTACTATCTGATGGGAACAATTGGAAGAAAGCCAGTACTTACTGGTGCCTTTTGGTTGTGTGCAGTATGTCAGGTTGCCTACATATTCATACCACAAGGTTAGCTTTGATCATCAAGAATTTTCACTAAATTTTAGACATGTAGGTCTATGACACTAATTTACCATTTCAGGAATGTATGCAGCTGCTCTGTCTGTGTATTTGATCGCTAAGTTTGCTATAGCGATGGTGGCGACCTCTGTGTACGTGTACACTGCCGAGTTGTACCCCACCAAGTACCGGCACAGCCTGTTTGCGTTCTCTTCCATGATCGGTCGGATTGGATCGATGCTGGCGCCACTCACACCCGCTTTTGTAAGAAAACTATATATGTAGTTATGTAGTTAGTTGATAGGTCTTGTACCCGATCTCGTAATCACGCCACAACAATAAATAAATAACCAGTCTCAAACCGAAATCTTTAGATCGAGATATATTATTGACATTAGTTGTAATCAATCATTGTTATAATTTAAGCCGTAGAACGTGTGATACAATACGATAAATAGAATTTCCCTTTCTCGTTCAGGGTGCGCAGTGGTTTGCGGAGCTGCCGTTCGTGATGTTTGGTTCACTGGCGTTAGTATCTGGAGCGCTGATCTTCCTCACACCGGAGACCCTCGGCACCACACTGCCTGACACCTTCGAGCAGGCAGACAGGATCGGACAACCTGACCAGAAGATCAAAACCTGATCTCAAGCTTAACGACAACATTATAAATAATTAAAACATTATATTTCGTATCATTTTGTATTTTCCTTGTTGTCACGGACATTCACAGGAATGAAATCGATGCCAATACTAAATACCTTTAGTATAATATTTAAATAATGTAATAATATTTAAATAATTTCAATGAATTGATTGGTAAGCCAGTTTAAATAAGCCGATAAGATTACCTACTATAAACATTATCGACAAAAGCCTATTTGCATATTATTGCATTACAGTAAACTGATACACCTACTTAGCTGGAATTTCCTAATAAAATAAATAATAGCAATTAAAGTGACATGTATACATACTTTGTAGATACGCCATATCATTAAGAGGAAGATTGATTTCATTTGTTTGTTCGTATTAAACGGTCTCTGAAACTGCTCCACTGCTCTTAATTATGCTTTTTTGGAATAACATGAGCTACTTTTTGTTACAATATTCTTAAAGGAGTATTATATCCTCGGGAGTAATCTTCCGAAATCTGCATGGGTGAATCCGCATACTGAAAGCTAGTAAATTATATTAGCAGACAAAGAAACTTACATAGATAAATAAATACATTTTGTAAAAATATAGTGCATAGCGGTAATGAATTGGTCAGCATCCCTACCTCAAATCATCCAAATATGATGTAATGTGATAAGAGATATGCTGTGCACGTGTGCACGCATGCACGTGTGCACGCTATCTGATAGCGGTGCGAACCTTGAACGTAAGATTATGATGATTTACACCAAGGACATGCTTGAGACACCGACACGAGATAAACAAAGCTAGAGATTTCAGACATTGTTTTGTATTCGCACAAAAGATGTGGTCGATGTCAAGAGCTAAAGAATGCTGTGGTTTTGTAGGTTTTTTAATTGACCAATCGTCACCGCCCATGGACATCAACGATACCAGAAGGATTACAAATGGTATTGATTCTTGTTTGGCTAGAATACACAGACAGATTTTGCACCACAGCTCTGACTTGTGGCAACGGGTTGGTGCTACGCCAAAAAGTCTGACATTTTCTCCCACCACAACTAGGGCTGCTAACCACTCAAAAAATGTATTGTATGAAAGATAACAGAAATGTCAAAACACAATGCTATGAGACATGTAAGTGGACAATGCAACATTATCATTGTATCTCAGTCTGTTGTCAGCTGTCAGAGTTAAGATTACCTCAGAGAGTGCTAGCAACTGCTGCAGCTTGTGTTAGTGTATGAATTACAACATTATCAACTGTGCTAAACTATTACATCAGTGTCTACCTACAATCTCGTGAAGTCAATGAACCCAATTTTTGTTTCAAATTTGTATTATACAAAATTGAAGAATACGGTTTTAATATTCAATCATACTTTTTATTATAACTTTCGTGAGATATTCTAAATTAATTATTATGTTTTCCTCTTACTCTCGTAATCATTTGACGAGATACTAGTTTTAAGCCATGCTATAGGCCCATATTCATGAGCAGCATTCCGTGACTCGCGACTCGGCAACCGTTTAACTTGTTTATATCAAGGTGAACTATGTGCTTTTTAGCAGAATTTAGGAATTGGACGTTCTAGTCACTAGTCTACCCAATAGCTGCACATGCCAATTTTGAATTAAATTCAAGATAAGTAGTTGTAGGTGACAACATATCGCTAGGTAAACCCATGTACATACATATTAACAGCATAAAAAAGTGTCGATAAAATAAATATTATCAGGCGCGTGAGATAACTCGGTGTAGCGCGGCAGTAGCTCACGATGTCGGCGCGGGACGAGAAAGGTTTCGTGGACTTGGACACTATCCTGGTGGAGGAGATCGGCCAGTTCGGGAAGTTCCAGCTGCGCACACTGCTGCTCACCGTCATCGTGGTCATCTTCGCAGCCTTCCACGCGGAGTATGTGTTCACTACCGCGAGGATTGAGTCCAGGCAAGTTATACTATTTGCTTTGTAAATGAAAGTTATATTTTATTTGTTGGGCCAAAATGTATTCAACCTCTAATAATGTATGGAAGCTTGTGAGTGCAAGACTCTAGTTGAATAAATTAGTATAAACGGTGTTTTTCATCATCTTTCATCTAAAAGTTTAAATGTAAAAATGTTCAGGTGTTTGATCCCGGAGTGCGATGGCGAGGAGCCGGAGTTTACTCCAGCGTGGCTCAGTAAGGCGGTGCCCACGACGGAGGACTCGTTCGACAACTGCCACCGGTTCGGCAACACGACCGCCCTGCCGCGGGCCGACACCTGCCCTGCTGAGCTTTTCGACAGGAACAAGGTGCTGCGCTGCGACCAGTATGTGTACCAGAACCAGCTCAGTGTCGTATACGACGTGAGTATTACTTTATATTAATAAAAAATCGTATTACCATAATATTTATAATTATGTACCTATTTTAAAAAATGTTCTGAACGTGTCATGAGTAATTTCGTAGCATGTACTACGGCGTAGTAAGGTGTGGCGTAGTAATGCAAGTTTTCATTGCTGATTGAACTTTAAAAGTTGTATATAAAGCGCTTGGAGTTACAAATAAGTTCTTACTTATAGTATATGTATTTCTTTCATAGTCGTTGTATGTGTTTAGTATGACTTGGCATGTGACGAGTGGCGTCGCTCGCTGATCGGGTTCGTGCGTACGTTCGGCACCCTGACGGCGCTCCCCATCACCGGCTACATCTCCGACCGCTGGGGGCGGCGCGTCGCGCTATCTATCAATGCTTTCAACACTGGCTGGATCGGAGTCACCAGGTACTGGGCCGACACATACCTCGGCTTCATGATCTCAGAATTTGTGGAAGCAACCTTCGGTGCTGGAGTCTTCTCATGTATTTATATTTTGGGTAAGCTTTATATCAGTTATCAAAAGGTATTGGAATGATTCACATCTGTCAAAATATTTAAAGCAATAATTTGTTTACAGTTCTGGAGCTCGTTGGCCCGAAATACCGAGTTATCGCTGGAGCCATTCTAAACACATTCTTTGCAGTGGGGCAGGTGATCATGGGGCTCATAGCCTGGGCAGTGCCTGCATGGAGACCTCTCACCCTGGCTCTCTACATACCACAGCTGTTCACTATCGCTTACTTCTGGATCGTGCCGGAGTCTGTACGCTGGTATATGAGTAAGAGTAGATACGAGGAGTCAGAGGCTCTGCTCAAAGAGGTTGCGAGGATGAACAAAAAGCAGTTGTCAGAGAAATCTTTACAGGCGTTGAGAGACAGCGCTGAGTTGAAGAAGCAGAGTGAGGCTCAGAGGAAGGAGCAGAATATCCGCGAGCCTTGGCTGGTCGTGAAGGTATTCCAGCACAAGCGGGTGCTGTTCCGATGCTTCGTGTCTCCATTGTGGTGGATCAGTATGACGCTCATCTACTACGGACTATCCATTAACGCAGTGAACATGTCTGGCAACGTGTACGTGAACTACATGGCGGTGTCTGCGGCTGAGATCCCAGGGTTCTGGATAGCCGTGCTGTTGATGCCCATCATCGGAAGGAAGCCGGTGCTCATAGCGGGCTTCTGGCTGTGTGCAACGTGTCAAGTGGCGTATATGCTGATGCCTAGTGGTCAGTATCGTTTATATGGTATTTACTTTCTAAAGCATTATATGTTCCTCACGCTGTGTTCTTAATTACAGACATGTTCGGGCTGTCACTCACGGTGTACCTTATTGGTAAGAGCAGCATCTCGGCGGTTGTGACGTCACTGTACATGTACACGGCGGAGCTGTACCCCACGGAGTGCCGCCACAATCTGTTCGCGTTCTCCTCGATGGTGGGCAGGATCGGGTCCATCACAGCGCCGCTCACACCAGCTATTGTAAGCCCTTTACCAATCAGTTTGATATTCACATTTATTTCATCGCCAAATTCTAACAAGACACAATATAATGTGTGCATTTATTTGTTCTTGTTTAACAACATACTGATAGCATATTACATCACTGTTTAAGATAATATCCTTACTATTTTGAATGTAATAAAGATAGTTATCTTTAGTTTTGTCACGATGCTGGTTCGATTTGAAATAGATAACCATTGTTTATATGACTTACGGCTAGTTTCTGAATGTTTAGTGCGTGTGCAGTAATAGTTTTAGTTTAACCCAAATAGTAGATTTTGAAAGTAATCATTTTTGTACAGTGTAGTGACGATATCAATATTGTATTGCAGGGTGCGCGACGTTTTACAACTTGCCGTTCATCATGTTCGCGGTGCTGGCCTTCACGTCGGGATTCCTGGTGCTGCTGACTCCAGAAACTCTTGGCACTAAGCTGCCAGACACGCTGGAGCAGGCTAACAACCTTGGCACATCGAAACAACAAAACTACAGTTAGGGATACCATGTCTTAGGTCTTCATTTCTGAGAAGGTCGGAAAAGGGGCTCATATATCGACCATGTAAACCAACGTTTCATCATCTATTTTACAAGTCTTATAATATATGTATAGGCTTGGTATTATACGCCGGTTACTACTACGACTTTTTGAACTTGATTACGATCTCAGGACTAACGAGGCAGTACTCAAACAGCACATAAACTATAATTATTAAGTTAGCAAGTATTTGCGAGTCTCATTACAGAAGTACCAATATTCGTTTGATATACACCGTAAAAATAATCTATTTGTTATATTGAAGACATCGGGATTGTCTGGACCTTGGTTTTTCCTTTTTTTACAATAAACACATACAAATATTTGTATTTTTTTTTCTTTAAATAAATTTCTTGGACCTACAGGGAGTAAATTAAGTTGTGGCAACTAAAACATTTTGAAGGTTTCATGTAAGAAGTTTGGTTATGGATTAGTTAAGAAGAGGAATATTTGACTTAGAAAAACGAACAGACGTAATCTGTCTGTTTGCTTTAGTCTGTTTAGCTTGGCTCTCCCACACTTAAAGTTATAGTCGCTGTAACGTTAACGTTAAGTTGCAAATAATTGCTGTGAAATAAGCCATCTTTAAAAATTGGATTAAAAAGAGTTGCTAGTTATTATTTTATGTGATTGGTCGTTAAACGAGCAAACGGATTACCTGATGGTAAGCAATCAGCGCCGCCCATGGAAACCCGCAACGGAGGAGTTACGAGTGCGTTGCCGACCTTTTAGGGATTAGGGATTTGGGTTTTTATGAATTAGAAGGGATTGGGGAGGGGAAGGATTGGGCCTCCGGTGACCTCATTCACACGGCGAAATACAACACTGTGGTTGTATGGACACAGGTATCGTTAATTTGTTAGAGTTGACAAATACCACAGATTTCACTTTTAATAGTTTATTGTGTATGTTACACTAGTTATGTGAGTTGCTAATCGTGAGTATCGTTATAATCAACTAAACACAAAAAATACAATATTAATTAAATCGACTCGCAAAAGTAGGTCGTGCGATGTTAGCAAAATTAATGCCTGTACGGAAACCGTACAGTGGTTGTTTCACGCCGGTTTTGTGAGGCCGTGGTATCACTCCGGTCGAGCCGACCCATTCGTGCCGAAGCATAGCTCTCTCATACTAAGTTGCAGCAATTAGGAAACTAGCATTGTTATTGATTAAGGTAACTGAAATCTGTTGATGGTCATTACTAGTCGAACTCGAATTGCTACGTTAGGGGCCTCAAAGAACCAATAGAACAGCACAGGTGGGGCCCAACTAGTTTGATCGAGTGCGGGAAAGCGCTATGAGGTACCATGGCTTTTTAGTCGGTCAAAGCTACGCTGGGATACTACTGGGGAGTCCAATTTATATATGTACATGTCAATAACAACCAGTTGCGTAATGTAATAAGTCGCTAAGTAATGTGTTTGATATAATTTTCTATACATGACATGGCGGACGCCTGACAGCGTTTTAATGTTAATGTCACATTTACAACATTGCTATATTCAATACTTAGGTAACCTACGATGAGTGTAGCTTACATTTTTGTACGAAAAAAATTAGAATCGTAAAGGTTTGATCTGTTTGTTATCTCTCTTGTTTTGTTCTTCTTCTTTCTCCTCTTTTCTAATATTGATCTTGAACATTGATTTGTTTTAACCATTGAATACAATATGAGTATCGGACCTCTATTGTTTCTCTAGTAGTTGAGTGTTACGTAGGGGCGACGACACAATTTTACAAGCAAATGTGAACTTTATCGCTAATGCAGTTTCTATTCCAAATAATGATGTGTGTATGAGTATTGTAAGTAAACATTATAATATCAAAATAATACGGTGCATCGGTACTGGTTGCGTAGAGAGCGCGCGGTGCGCACGCGCACGCCGCAGACGCGTCTTACTGCGGAGCGAGGCGCGCGCGCCGCCCGCACACGCAACGTCGCACGCACACACACGTACACCGTACAACAACCAGTGCCGCGCGCATACGAAGCCTGAATTTCATGGAAATATATTGTTATCTATAAGTGCAGTGATTATGAAGCTCGATTGATATTTTGTTATTGGTAAGTAATTCATTATTAAGTTATTGTCGATATGCTTTTTAATATATGCAACCTTTTTACTATTTGATATTCTGTATAAACACCTACTTAATTTTCGAAAATTCCCGTGGGAATATTTTGTCTCAACACCGTTTGTGGAATTTATAAATTATCGCCTCACTAGACTTACAACTGTAGAAAACAATTACAATTGCTACATGAGATATTGGATTATTGTAAATATTTCTCCTATTGTTAGACATTGCGACCATTTTTTGGTCACGGACATCGATAGTTTCAATAGTCTGTTACGATTGTCAATGAGTCAGGGTTGTGGGCGCAACCGTAATAATATACAACGGCATCGGCTTGGAGCAGGAGAAGGAATGGGGTTGTTTTTAGTCAGTAAGAGTCTGACACTCTCACACCCAGGATGAGAGAAGTCATTTGATAATAATCCACCCTCAAAAAAGGGTTTTTTAATCGTTTTAATTCGTCTAAATGGTTTCTATACTCTAGATTTATTGAATGTAGTTTTTCCGGACTACATCGATAATCATTGTAAACCTTATAGCGTTTGAAATATTATTTTACCCAGGGTACACATACACTGCATATAGGAATGAAGTGATCTGATATTGTGTTAATTAATAATAACGTGACTCTGATTACACTGCACTGCTGCAATAAACAAACGAGTGATCATAATGTTGTTGTCCAATATTTCAAGTGCACGCGGCGCTGGCGTGAGGATGCATATCACTGCCTCATTACTGGCTGTCTCCACGAGCTGGACTCCTTTGTTATTGTCTTCTACAAGATATTTTATATTTTAACATTTTATTATATATGTTTAAAACGTAAATAGTGATGTATATAATATGTAGACATACGTTTAAGAAGTAATTTAAAGCAGTTCAATCTTCAACTAATTGATGTGTATACTAGTTCGGTTTAAAAAATAAAATAAAAATGACTAAAAACGCCTAGCTGTTCAACTATACTCTAAATCCGTAAAATATATCTACCTAGTGTTTAGTCCCGGGACTAAAAAGAAATCTTTATTTTAATATAATCGATTCACAACCTATAAGTGCCCACTGCTGAGCAAAGTTCGCTCACACGAAGAAGGTTTGAGCATTAACCACCATGCTTGCTTAAGGATTAAGGTTATGATCGATTGGCGAATTCAAACTTATAATTGGAAATTATAAGCCCAGTTTTTCACACGATGTTTTCTTTACCGTATGTCAGTGGTGTCTAAATAATCTTAGAAAGTACATACTACTCGAAAAAAGACGCAAAGGTATTTGCCAGGTTTCGCATCAGAAGAAGCGGGCACCTTAATCTCCGGGCCACCACGACAGGCAATTGTAATCATCTGAATCTAATATGTATATCGTTGTTATCAATTGGCAACTATCCCATAATGACAACAACTTTAGGCACGTACGTAAAGCAAAAGAATACAATAAGCACTGGTTTTTCAATGGTTAGGTAAAATTTACCTAGGGAATAATTATGATGCTGTCGCGTCAGAATGTTTGTATAAGACAGTGACAGCAACAATTTTATTCCATTTATCTGACTATTGAAAATCAGCCCTAAAACGAATTAGGAGTTTTGGCTAGCTATGTCTCGCAAAGTATTAAAAATATTTAACGGTGGCCTGGCACAATTATCCAAATAAATGTATCATAGAAAGAAAATTAAATTATGACGCAAAACTAATCTTAAATAAGGTTTCATATCGCTTTCTTTCTGTTTTTACTATTAAAATGGCGTTAACCTGTATCAGCAGTTTGTTTTGATTCCGACCACATGCGTAGTGTTGTTACGTGTGCACTTACAATGGGCACGCACCTGTATGCAGTGTGTTCTCAATGTTACACGACAAAAATACAAAATACAATTTGTTACACGCTGACAACAAAGACGTTTCTTTACAACTCTTTAACGTTAGCTACGAATACTGATTTCGTGTTTAGAATTTCTTTTTTTTTTAAACAATGTCGTACATACTATTCAGTGTCACTCGAGTTCCGCATATTCACGCTCGCATCAGTACATGCATTAACATGCACTATGACTGTGCACTTCGCCACAAATGCACACAGTCTAATACCTCCACATTATCGTATCACTAGGTACCTACTTGCATAAATTACTAAATGGTAACCATTCGTAGAAGGTTAAATTACAACGCTATACTTACTGAAGATAATTTTCTATTAAAATGACAAGAAGATTCATTCTCTATGCCGCCCTTTTTGTTGAAATCGTGGTGCATGTACCAACATTTTTTTATTAGGTACATAAAAAAAATGTTGGTACATGGATGGCAAAGTAAGCTATCAGCGCCGCCCATGGGCACCGTAGATGACCTTTTGGGTATTAGAGATTTGGAGATTTAGATATTGGGAAGGGTTGGAGAAGGAGAAGGATTGGGTCTCCGGTAACCTCACTCACACGGCGAAGCGAAACGACATGGTTGTTTCACGCCGGTTTTCTGTGAGGGCGTGGTATCGCTTAAGTCGAGTCGACTCTTACTCTTACCTCTTTTATTTTGATAGTAAAAATGAATGCATTCATTAAGCAAGGAGTCAGGTTATGTTTTGATGTCACTGGTGATAGAGCAAGTACGCGCGGTGTTATCAGGGCCGTGCCACGGGTGACGGGAGCACGCCCCGCCCGCTGATTGCCGCGGACTTATACTTGACGTCTTAACCAGCGCGGCACTTGGGACAACCTGTTGACCTCAAATTGCAAAAATAAAAACAGAGCAACGACTGCTCTATATATTTATCATTGTACGTGACGTCAAATATTTTGATTAAAACAAAATATTTTTTGTTCTTATTCATTGTTGTCAAGAGTTTTATGTATATGTGTATGCATTAATTAAATATATATCACAGAACAAAGTATGTAGATTCTGATATTGTATTGATAGGGTTATAGTGGCACGTAGTTTATGAGTCATCATCATTGTAGTGTGTGACCTCAGA